GCTTACTAACGAGAATACGCCCTCTTCCCTGCTCTGATGGACCCAGAGAGAGAAGGGGAAAGCGGCGAACACGGTTTTTTCCACATCCACTCCTCTTGGTCAGGTGTCAGATGGCCATGAGCTGCATCCACCAGGGACTGTTTTCCTTCCCATTCCCTTGACTCCCCCAGCAATGGTGGCAGCCCTGTTGTTCAAAGCAAACTCGCAGCACTGAGGGACCCCTACCAAGAAAAGCACTTACGCGCACGCTGCAGGTGTACGAGAAGACCCGTACAACGGACCTAAAAATTAACCACGGGCTCGCTCTTGCTGTGCAGCATCAGAGCACTGCTGAGAAGGACTTGCCCCGCTCTGTCGTTAAACCATCTATGAAGCCGCGTGCATGAGAGCTGCTGTATGAGACCGTGATGTGAAAACATACGGCCCCCACCTGAACGCATCTGCAGCTGGCTGGACTGACTGCTGCCCCCGACTTACAACGGTTTGATCGAGAAGGCTTTCAACTCCCTGAGGGGTCTGCAAAAGGTATTCATAGCTCTTGAGTCTGGAAGATGAGAGGACTCTACGACAGATATCTGCCGTGGCCAGGACCTGGACTCCTTGAGCTCGTTATCTGAAAGCAACAAACCCAACTGACACGGGGGAAGCAAACAACAACCCGCTCCCCGTGTTACCGGGGCGCGCAAACAGCTCCGAGGCATGCCGGTGCCCAAGGATGGTGATGTGGAGATGTACAAAAACACCGAGGCAGCCATTGCTTTAGAGAAGAATTTGACACTTGTTAGTCTGAAGGGGATTTAAAAATCCCAACATATGCCCCAAGGCCTTTGGAAACTGGACCCAAAGTGCCTACTTGAGATCTTGTTGAGAAACGAGACAGCCAACTCTTGTGAGCGAGCCTCCTGGCACCGACAACATTCTGACTATGTAAATCAGCAGAGAAACCATTGTGTTTTGCCTGTAAAATGAGTGAGTTCAGACTATTCATCTGTTCACAGGCTCAGATCAAGTTCTGTATTGGAGCGCACAAGCCATCCACAACCTCTACCATCTCCCTGCACAGCGATACAGGCAGCATTCACTCTATCTTCAACATTAACTTATTTTTCCAAGAGGAAAACAAATTCTGGCTAGTACCGGTTACCTAGATAAAAAAGGAAAACCCCTACAACTCTTTTTCTTCCCTTTTTCTAACCAATTTATCTACCTCGTGTCAAGAGTGATCCTGAAGAAAATTCCTGGCATATTTTGTGTCAAAAAAATGAATAATAATCGTGACTTCTGAAAGTGTTTACTAGACCACTCTGTGTATTTGAATATTTTCTTTCACCATTTAGTCCAGTCTTTTATGGGAGTACATCATACCCTTTAATTAAACATTCTTGAGTATTTGGATTTTATCTCACAGATACACCACACCCTGCTTGTAAAAATTCCATCTCAGGCAGCCAAAGTGCTTGACTTACTCCAGAAATGAGTTATTAATTAGAGTATCTATAGACCTTATATTTATAATCTGGTGCCATCCCTCCCCAGGGAGCCCAAACTTTTATCTGCCAGATTACTTACCTGCAGTTGAAACAGAGCCATTGCTGGCTGGAATGTAACCCCCATCTTGTGCAGCTCCTCTCTACCACGCTCAAAACGAAGAATGGGAGATTGGTCCAAATGGAGGACTTTGGGTTTTTTTTATATTTTGGATACGAACCTCTTGAATTAAATTCACTTTGCTTAGAATATGGCTGTGGCTATCTAACTCTGTGGGTTTCCCAAAGTCCCCATTCACTTCATCTTGCTCCATTCAGAGAAATCCTCACCCTAGTCGTGAACTCCTGCAAATGTGGAGGTGCCAGGAGGATGTTAACAGGCATGATGATTTCGCTCCCCAAAGTGGTCCCAGATTTCACCCTCACCTGGCACCGCTTGCACCTTCATACCGCCCGATGCCAGCTGGGGCACCAGCCCTGTTCTGACTCAGAGCGGGGAGTACCCCACTGTGAAATCACCGAAGGCAACAACAACTCGCAAAATACTTCCCCAAGCCAAGGGGTAAAAGCCATTGCCAGCCATGAGCTCACCAGCACCGCTCCCCGGCACTCTCGCTTGCCAACCTTCTGCAGCTTTTTTAGTTCACTAGATGCGCCAGCTCATCCCATTCTCAAAACATTTAGCAATCAAGAACAGCGATAGCTTGGGGCTGCCACAGCAGCCAAACACCCAAACAGGAAAAGACGAAATGGGAGAGAGAGAAATACTGCATTACTGGGCTCGTTAGCCCTCACAGGCAACTTGAAGCGCTCCAAACCCTATCATTCCTAAGTGCGGAAAGGAGGGTGCAGCCATCCCACAGAAGGAAATCCATAGGAAATCCTGCTGGCATGAAATATGCCTGGGAGACAGCCCGCAGGAGCCTCCACGCAGGTGATGGAGAAATGAGAAGGAGCGAGTGGCACCTTCCAGCACCGGGTTGGGGCGAGACTCTTCCAAGGGTCAGCATAAACCCCCCCGGCAGCCTGCCATGCCCAGCGCTGCCTGCCCTTTCCCAGGCACAGGTTTGGCAGAGAAGAGTCATCTCATACACCGGTGGGCACTCAGCATGCTGGCGGGTCCCAGTGCAAAGCTCTTCAGCTTTACATCTGTCCTCCTCCAGCTCCACCAGCCTAGAGGAGCCACTAGAACCAAGGAAAAAATTGGTCTCCAACCCTGGACGAGAGACTCCTGCCCTCCTACATCACTGCTCTCCTTGTCCAGCATGTTTGCCTTGGAAACTTTTGATTCGTGGGCCTTCCACCTCCTACAAGAAGAGATGGAGCAGCAGCAAGGAAGCTAACGTTGCCTGGAAAAAAAAGATAAACACTCTCCGTCTGCAGAGAAAGCAGCCTCCTGGCAATTTTGCTGGGGAACCGTGCCATGAGCAGCCGATGCTTTCTGGATTTACTTCTCTGCCTTAGCATGCCCTACAGATATGTGGAGGCATTAGTGTGAGAAAACCTCCCGGCTTGGGAAGCAGGATGCTGGTGAGAGGGGGTTTGAACATTCTCCGACTGTCAAAGGTAAAGGGGAAGAGCTTTAACAAAAGCAGAATTGAGGCAAGCTCCCCCAAAGCAGTGACATAAGAAAAACCTGACTGCCCACACGGGGCAAAAAAAGAACACAAAAGGGTAGTGCAAGAGGTCAGAGCAGTTTTATGAGGGGTTTCCCTGCGTCAACACAATAGAAAACAGTGTGAAATATTACAGGGAAAAGCTTGATCCAAAATCTTTCATCTGAAGACACTCAGACACGGTTTGAGCTTTCATCTGGGTGTGAATTTTGAAGCTTGGGCTCCTTTCTGTATAACGCAGTGAACTGAACCAAACCCAGCCCACACACCTGCAACATCTGTAAATACGTTGATTCAGAGACACATTTTACAGCTTTTGTCAGTCAGCGACTTATCAGAAGCTACTCCCTAGATTTCCTCCTCCTCCTTTCATTTATTTATAAGTACCTTAAAGTATTTCTTCATTTGTAAGTACTTATTATTTCTCTTATGAAAAGTATTCATAAGTACTTTCTTTCTTTTTTGGAAGTACTTCTCATCCATCCATCCAGCTCTAGTCTAAGGTAGAAGCTTTTAAGTCTTTCCTCAAGCAGATAACTCTGGCCAGGATAGCAGTGTCAGCATGGAGAAGCTTTTTGTGGCCCCTCTTTATGTTTCTGTTCTTTTTGGAGAAAAGGATGTTCAGGTTGTAATAAAAGGACTGAAAAATACATTAATCCTTATTAAACCGGTAGAGGCAATTGACAGGGCTAGGACTGGCTGCTTCCTCCTCTCTCCCTCCATGCCCTTCCGCAGCTTCCTCTCCTCTCCTCTTTTCTGACCCTTGTTTGTGTTTGGAAGCAGCACGCTCGCTCCCAGCAGACCCGGACAGGGGATGAGAGGGGAAATGTCTGGATGCATTTAGTCCAATTAAATGTTGGCATCACATCGAGTCTTTCCAAAAAGCACGTAGGAAACTTGAACCGCCGGGCTGGCCGCTGTGAATGGATGCCTCCCCGTTTACATTTCCTCGCATCAAGCCACGAACAGAGTAGGTATTGTCATCAAGCATGTCTGCCACAAACCCCTCTTTAGCATCGTTCACAAATGTTCTGCTAAAACCTTTCGTCTCTCAGCAGATTGCTTCCATAATCCCACGTCACTGACGAGTTTTGGCAGAGCTAAAGAGCGAACCAAAAGTTGCTGCTGACAACTCCCCTGGCTTTGCTCGCTCGGCTGCCACAGCAGCACGCAGATCCTGCAGCAGCGTTCCCTGCCCAACGACACCTCAAACTCACACTGTTCCTGCCGACGCCGCGCTCGCTAACAGGCTTGTACAGCAAATAAACAAACGCACGCGAGCCCTGCACGTGGGGTCTGTACATCATCCCGAGCCACCCAGCCCTCCGACGAGCCGCTGCTCCGACAGGAAGGGTCTGCGGCACAAACTCAAGCAGCCCGCGCACAGCGGCAGCGCCTGCCTCCCTCCCACGGACGGTGCCCCGACACCCGTGGGTCCCGGGGCATCCGTGCAGCCATGAAACCTGGGCTCCCCTGCACAGGGGGTCACAACCCCGAGAGAAGGCACTGAAAGTTTAACTTCTGGGGGAGAAAGAAGCAGCTGAGGGGGGACAGGCACAGCTGGCTCTCTCTCTCTACTTTTTCTTTTTTTGTTTTAAACAACTAAATCTTGTTCTTCCCACGCCTGAGAAAAGTCCTTTAAAAATTAATAAGACCAGTCACATAAACGAATTAAGGGTCAGTTTACAGTGCTATTAAATTAAATGCTTTATATGCAGTAATTGAAGAGTTCAGTAGAATTCAGGAAATTCAGCCTCAGATGCTTTCGAGAGCGGATGGAGGGATTTAAGGAACTTCTTTAAACAGAAGAAACCCAAAAAGCCTCACTTCGCTCAGCATTCACTGCAACATTTATCCGAGATAAGCAACCTGTGCTGCTCGTTACACATTTGAGTACCTGCACAATAGGGTGGCCCCCCGCAGACGCCTTCACAGCCCCTCGACTGCCTTCTGTCTCGTAATGGGCTCGGTGGTGGGATTTCGGCTGCACTTCAATACGCAGCTCATAAGGTCCTGAGTGAGACGGCAGCTGCCAATCAAGGGCGGGCAGGGATGGGCTATAATGGAAAGGAAAACGGATTAAAAATTAACATCAAGTACACTATCACCAACCACAAGCATCCAGCACTATTACTTTAGAGACTGTGTTTCGCAGTTCATCCTTCACCATCTTACATTTAAAATTTCATCAATATAGATAATGCCACGACATAAGTAATTTAGGAGGTAATGGTTATTTTATGAAGATTTATGGGTCGAGCTTATCTGATGGCCCAGATGCTATGCAATTTGTAAACAAAATGGAAAACTGTTAAAACACAGCTTACAAGTATCTTAATACATTGATTCTTGAACCAAAAGGAGAAAGGTAGGCAGCAAGACACGGAGGAATTTAAGGATTTCTGCTGTGCAGGTGAATGCCAAACCAGCTCTGGAGGAGTTCCGCATTCAATGAATCTAATGGATTCCAACAAAACTGTTCAGTCTACAGGGGGCGGAAAGAAGAAGAAAAGCCATTTCCCAGCTTCCTTCCCAACACAAACCGCGTCAGAGGGTCTCAAAGGGAAGCCAATCTCTTTCTGGTTCACGCGCTACAAGGAGCAAGCTGTGAAGTCAGACCTTGCTTACAAATCCTACTAGCGAGGACACACAAGCCCAAAGAAAACCCCACTTGCTCTTCTGGCCCTATATTGACTCTGCAATTAATGAGAATATTAAGGACGCATTACCATCACACAAGCAAGCAGGCCCGGCAGCGTGCGATAAGTGTCATTCTTAGAAAAACACTTCCAGCATAAAACTACACTTGAAAATAGTCAGGAGAGCTTGGCTGTAAGAAATGCCACGCTGATGCTCTGCATTGGAAAAAAAAAAGAAAGAAAAAAAAGAAAAAGAAACAGACAAGCACTGCAGAAACAGTAGGCATGCGGCAGATTTATTGATTTCAAAATCAAAGCGAACAGCTTCCCGATGAAAACACTAACTTTATGTCTAGCGTCTATTCTTTCCCTCGGTGAATTCTCCTCACCAGGTGTCCTTCGAAAGCCTTTACAAGCTGTTAAACGGCACAACCGCAACATACTACCCTGCCCTCTCACACTAAACTTTATCACGTCTCCCATCAGCCCGGAGAAGATAACCAGCAAGCAGAAAATCACAGTCCCCCAGCCTTTGTTGTCACCACGCACGGGGCTACCTGCCGTGGCGAGAGGGCTCGTCCCGCCGCAGCATGCTGCCGAGGAAGCCACAGGGCTGATTAGTCTGAGCAGCGTGAATCACAGCAATGAGCTGGCTGGGGGGAAAGGACGCAGAAGAGCTCCCACACTGGATGCGTATATTACAAGCACATAGGCAGCGGGAGACCAGACACCCCGTTTTACCGTTCCCGTCATCCACATGCTAACCCAGCGCGCCCGCGGCTCCCCAGGCTGTACAGCTCTCTCGTCCCACAAGCATCCCTGCTGTCCCCCGCTGCAGGAGAGAGACTTTAATAACTTGCTTTTCTTTTTGCTGTGCCTTTTTATTTTTTAAAGTGCTTATCCAGCCCTTTATCACCAGCGTATTTAACCCAGAGCTGCTAGCGCACGCGTGCACATACACTGATGGGACTTCAGGTGGTGCCAAGTTTCTCAATCTTTCTTCACTGCTTATAAATCTGTGATTTGACTGTCTCTAGACGTGCACTACATGCATTACAAGGGTCAGGCTGCAGCCACCAAGTCCCAGCCCTGGGTAAGGACCACCAGGACCACCCTCACCCCCTGGGCATCCCCTGCCACCCCAGCACGGCTTACTGGCAAGTCGCAGGCTGCAAGCTTCCAGCTACTCTGCTCTCCAGCCCTCAGGACATGATAATTACAGAGGAGGGGGGGAGAAGAAAGCAGCCATACAGCTCCCAGCTCAGCCCAAATGGGAGCTCATCCAAAAGAAAGATGTTGCCTCTGGGAGAGCTCCCAGCTCCCATCAACATCTGGATGCAGCAGGAGCCAGCGGGGCACTCTCTGCAGAGGCACAGACCCCGCCAGGGACAAATCCTGAATTTGGCTACCGCCCCCCACGAGCACAGGAGCCCCAGCCCTGGCTAGAGGTGGGACGCTGCGTCCTCTGAGCTCCTGTGCAAGCCTTTCCCCCAGAACAGCCAGGGCCCACCGTAGGGACAGGGAGAAGCAATTCTGCTACCAGACACTCATACAAAGAGACAGCAAAAAATTACAGGCAGTTGGCCACTGTATATAGCCACAATTCTGTGCCTAGCACGCTAGGTACACATACTCTAGTCTGAAAAAGTCTCTAAAAAAAAAAATTCTGGAGAAACCCTGTTTGACTAATGATAAATGACAAAGAGCAGAGCAAAACAGCTGTGTCTCTCCTGCTGATGATCAGCACACATTCTTAAACAGATGTTTCTGGTTTTAAGTAAATTCTCACTTGATGGATTTTTTTTTTTTTTCTGAGGACACAACACCTATCAGATTAGAAATTTTTAATACAATTGAAAAAGGACGACTCTGACTGCCAGCAGGTAGCCCTTAAGTGAAGAGGGATTTTTTTTTTAAGATACATGGAAGTAATAGTTCCATAATTAATTACATCTCTTTGAAAAACAAAGAAAAACCCACCAAAGCCCCTTTCAAATCAGCACCTGAAAATGGCAGTATAATTAAGTTGTAAAATTCATGTTCTCAAACAAAGCCTGAAAACAAAAAACAGTTTGCTGTTAGCCTGCAGTCTACCACTGAAATTCCAAAATACCACCTGCCCAATTACAAATTGACAATTAATGGCAGTTTTCCTGATAAAGGAAGCAGAGTGATGCATTTAACAGTGTCATGGGCTGGGGCTGCCAGAGCTATTTCCTATGTTAGGTTATCTTCATCATGCACTTCATTTCCTGCGGCTAAACGTGGTTAAAGGAAAAAGTCACCGAGCACATGGTGTAGTGGTAAAATCAAATCTGGTCGCTGCAAACAAACCGTATCAATCAGAAAGGGCCCAAACGACCTCACCTCGCTAGCACGGCGTGGAAGGGAGAAGATCCCCTCCACAGGGGTTAAGAAGAGAAAGGAAAGGTCTTCAGGCAGCCTTCCTATCAAATACACATCGGTGTGTTCCCTCAGATCGAATCTGCCACCAGCTGGAATCCTGTCCCACTCCTTTCTACGCCACAATAAATCTAAGGGCAGTCCTCCCGAACGCTGTCATGAGAGACGGTTGTTTCAGGGCGGGTTCGCAAAACCTGGTGTTAGGCTGCAGAAAACTCGCTCAGCGTTAACTCACCCTCCATAAATCAGATTACAAAACAGATGAATAGTGATTTATTTTTGCATACACCAGATACGCAATATGATTAAATCAAAAACAGATTAGCCAGTCTGGCTGACTTCTGCCTTTAGCAGAAAGATTTATCAAGTTACAGAAAAAAAAAAAAAGAAAAAAGATAGAAAGATACTAAGCAGCACACTGCAATATAGACAGGGAGGAAACAAAGCCAAAAACTTCTACTAAACTTTGCAAAGGTGTTTCAGCCCCACTTTCACATGACTGCTACACATTTGGGAATTAAATTACCACTACACTTTCTAAGCTACTAGATGCCCAAGGCCACCTGAAAAAGAGATTTGCAAATATTTTCATCCTTAACTAGGCTGCTGTGCAAAAGGCATCAGAACAAGTGCCAGCGTCGCCCAGGGACTAATCCTGCTTGTTGGCCAAGTACCACGGCGTGGAGTCATCTACCCCAGACAGCTGCCTGAGAGCAGCCAAAGCCGCTGCCTGGAAGAGC